AACTGCCTTCGGTCTAAGCAACTCAATAATATTATAATCTACAGCCGATTTGAAAAGCAACTAGAATATCTTTGATGTGAAAAACATTTTGTCAGTTCCGTATAAAATAACATCCAAAATAATTTAAAAATATACTTATAGACCTCGAAAGGACATATACATCTTATTTGGAAAGTTATTTAATATTTAAATTACTTTAAAAAAATATTTAATTATTGTTTTTTATTTGATATTCAATTTACTTTAGAATTAACAAAACACTTCTGAATAGAGAAAATTTATCAACTATTATATATAAAAATTAAAGCAAGTAATAAATTTAAATTAAATCAGTCGTATGGCTTCACCAATATTTAATTTTATATAATAATTAATTTAAAATATTTGTAAGTTATTATAGAAATGATCTGTTAATAATATATATGTCCCTTCAAAATCTATCAACATCACATATCCTAAATCATCAATATCTTAACACTTTCCATTTATTTTCTAAGACTTAATAATTTACTAAAAAATTTCATTTAAAATTTCTTCATTAAATAACTTTTTGCTTAAAAAACACTTCGATTCAAATTTGGCATAAATGGTCACTTGGTACAAATTTTCAGTTGAGAAAACTGTTAAGAATCACACTTTTTCTTACATTGTAGGAATGGAATTAAATTATATATTATATATATATATATATATATATTATATATATATATATATATATATATATATATATAAATTATTCCATTTGTATAAAACTTTGGAAAAAATTCTGTCATTTTCTGATAAATAATTTTATCTACTCTCTAATGATTGAAAATGATTATGGTGATAAAATTAGCATGGGAACTGCCGAATTATTTCAAATGTGCGTTAGCAATTTATATATGATATTTATATTAAAAAACTGAGCAAATCCAAAAAAAGTTTCCTCAACATTAATAAAACAAATTGAAAGTATTAGAAAATAGGTTTTGTATACTAATTTTTTTTTTATAAATAACTTGTGGAATTTAACTAAATCAGCCTTGTAAAATTATTTAAGATTCTGCTAAAAATATATTTGCACACATGTTTAGATGCATATATTCATCTAGAAATGTAATCCAGATCTAGAATTTAATCCAGAATCACAAACAAAACTATTGTATAAATACTAGATGATGTTTTAATAGTTATGACCTAATAATAAACTTTCAATGAACTTAAACAATAAAATTATTAATTCCGATAATCCTTTTGGTCATACAAAAAATTAAAATGATTTAACATTATGTTTGAAAATGTAAAAAATAATCAGCCACTAAAGATAAAAAATCATACTACATGAAATTCTATCCTTTTTCAAGTTCCCATACTATTTTTATCAATATAATGAAATAAAAAATAATTTTTTATTGCTATTTTTTAGTCATGTTCCAATAAAAATATCATTTGTATGCAGCACCTTAAAAACTAAAATGTATAAAATTTTTTATACAAAGATACATATGTATAAAAACATTGATTGCACCAGCCTCCTTAAAAAAGGCACACGGATTGAAAATTTAATTTATTCTTAGTTCATCAATAATAAATTTCTAATCCAAAAAAACAATTTATTTATTTTATTGATAATAATACTTTAATATTTAAACATTATAATACTAAAAAAGCCATGTATTTTAATTTTACTTATTTATTTAAAACTTTGGAATTAAAATCTGTTCCCGTATGCATTTTTTTCAGCTGGCGTTTATAAATATACACATTTATATATATGAATTTTTATTTATAATATTATATGTTATTGTGTAGACCTTAAAAAGGTGATAAACAGTGTAAAAATATTGTCTAATTTTGCTGTGATGTAAAAAAATGACTAAAGAGGGTAATATTATTGTTGGTACAAAATCGAGCTTTTAGCATATTATTATTTATTGTCTTGAAACAAACTAGTGGTATTTGTATGACACAGTAAGAGCAATAATAGTGTAACCAGTTTAATGAATTCCAAGTTAGAAAAAAAAACAAAAAATACTTTTTTAAATTTAAAGAATAAATATTAACTCTTTCCACTCGCTAATTCGGAGATTTATATGAATTTTGCCGCCGGAGCGGTGGCATCCGAGTTGAAAGGGTTAAAAAAATGTAAGGTATAGTGTTGTAAAGGAATGACGAAAAGATGAGCACCCAAGGATGTCATCTGGATTTTTTTTTTTAACCGAAAGTTTCGACTCTAGGAACAAATCAATAAATCCATTACTTAGGCCACGTTGCTCTCACTTTTTTAAGTTCATCTTTTATCTATTAACAATATTTTTGACAATCTGTAACGTCACATTTTAAACTGGTCTACACACCCTGTAACAAAAACAGCACAAACATTTCCTGCCAATATATCACAAACGTTCGCAAAACGATTTCAGTTTTATTATATTTATATGTTTTTTTAGACTAAAATTATACATATACGAATTCTCCTAAAAGTAAAGAAATATTAAAATAGCAATTTCCTTGTCATCAGATTAGAGCAGTCTTTTGATTTGAAATAATAATCATATTTTGGATGTAATGCGTTTTTGGAATAAACAGCTGGTAGAGGCAATAAATCAGGACTCTCAATGAGGATGGTTATAGTAGTGTCCGGATATAACGACGGACGATTATTTTTGGTTGTATCAGGTTTTAGTGAATTTGAACTCGTACTTAAAAAAATATTATAAATTATGTGAACTTAAATTGTTGTTGCAATAAAAAGTTAAAACTTCTAAAAAATAATAATTACTATTGGACACTTACTGATTGATACATTAAACAAAAAAAAAATAGTCATGACATCTCATTATTTGTAACCAATCATATTTTTAATACAGTGGTACAAATCTACTAAATTGGTTCAGAAGCTTGGATGTGAAACTTCCGGGTCACCAATTTAGTACAAAGAAATATTTATTGGTTACAAATAACGATAAATATTTATATAGTGAAAATAAATATTTAGCAGTTACAACTCTTGCTTTCCATATACCCAAAAGCATACCAATTTTTAAATAAAGATACGCATTTTTTGTGAATATCTATTGCAGTCTATTAACTATTCTAGATCTACAAAGTGTAATTATAAAAAAAAATGTGTCAAATTTTTTCTAAAAAAATTAAATAAGTGCAATTTCCGTAAATTTTCGGAGGATTCACGATGCCATTAAAACTTACTGCACAAATTTCCATTACTCAATTTCAAGATATTTTCCAAAAACTCAAAATTCAATAAAATGATACATAAGATGACTCTAGTAGAGTCCGGATGTAATAACTAATTATTTTTGATTGTAGTTGTTTTCGGTAAATTCAACTAAATATAAGAATTAATTTGAGCCTAAATTGTTGTATCTAAAATTGTTTAAATTTATGAAAGGGAATGGTTATTTCAGCGCCTAATATCCATATTTATTTTTATGAGCATCTGTAAGGTCCATCAGTGACCATTATAAAATTAATGTAATTATCCAAAAAATTTGTATATCATTCATCAAATAATTAACATAGGAGTGCAAAAAATGCCTATTTTTACTGTTTTCTTATAATCTCTACCAGCTGCTCAAAGCAAAAACCTCCGCCTCTTACAGAATGACATCAAATTATATACAATACTATATAACAATTTTAAGATACTTTATCTAGTTGCAAATTTTACCTAATATTTTTTGTCAAAAATACTAATTTTAATGTGATCCAATTTCATTTTGTTAAAAACAAACAATCTAAATAATCGCTAATATAATTTTAGCTAAATTTAATTTAATTTAATATGTACGCATGCCTTTTTCGAGATTCCTGATACTGTCATGCCCCTCAACGGAAAAAAATTATTAACAGTTATTAAAGTATCAACTAATTATATATATTCTAGGAAATAAGTCGAATAAAATAGGTACATTTAGAAAAATACCCAAAATAAAATCGTTACTCTCTTATAATATATTAATCGAAATTATTCAAAATGAAGTCTGCATAACTTAGCTTTGCAAAAACATATGTCAGTATCTAAAAAATGGAAACAAACATTTCCAATATAGATAAATAAATGTTATTAAATTATTCATAACCTTGAAAAACAAAAACTGTTTTTTTTTACAATTTGCCAAGGAGCATTCAAGCATCTTGTTAATACGCCTGTTGGAAAGTTAATATAACATACTAATTATAGATCCAACATTCTAACAAACATATTATAATCCCGAATAATATATTAAATATGGATGTGAGTGAGAATATACGCTAAAAAACGAAATAAAGTAAGTGCTCCCGACAGGTCAGCACTAACATTCATGACATACATTTTTTGTGTCAGAACTGACATGTGTCAATGGTAATTGAGATATATCTTTGGTGCCTGATGTCAATGGTGGCAGCTAATACTGAACCGATGTAATGGATTATGAATTGATAAAAAATATACATATTAGAGTGGGTCCAATTTTTTGGTCTTTGGGACACTGTGATTTGGTTGTATGAGTTATTTTAAGAAAACTTTGCCGAAGAAACCAAATAAATACATATTGTGGTACATTTAATTATGTAACCGGATAAAAAATTATAATATAAGGTTGTCAAATATCTCCCTTCCGCCTTTTTGTATTATAAACCAAGAGCAAAAAAGCGGAAGGGAGATATTTGACAACCTAATATTAGTTGAATATTCGATTGTTAATTAATATGGATTGTTAAAAAAATATGGGGATAAAACAATTAATCAACAAAAAAACAACGGAGAGACGCAGGTGCAAAAAGTTTGGAAATCACTGCTGCAGGCTTACGTAACCTATTGTTCAAAACTTAATTTATTCTTATAATTAAATAATTATTTCTTGTAATTTAAAATAATATCATCGGCATAATTTTTTTAGATGACCCATAGAATTTCAATGTGCCCCCTTGTGCATTTTTTCGGTCCCATATAATTTGACCCGCCCTAACTTCTACCTATATATATATATATATATATATATATATATATATGTGTGTATATATGATTAAATAAAATAGAAAAAGATTGCTTTTTAGACATGAGCACAAGACTTATTCAAAATTCGCGTGGTTCAATACTTCGATATAACCCAATTCAAATCACAACCGACACATGTCAATACTTCCAATTTCACTCCATGTCATGTCATGTCATTCCTACCATATGTCAGCGCTGACACGTGTCGAAGTTTAAAACGACATATGACGTCACGTCTCAAGTTTCTCTAGTTTCGAGCACAGTTCGGGTAATTCCGACGCTCCAGCGGATGTTTTCGAATCGGTCACGGAAGCGGATCGTGAATCTCCGCTTTCGGCGGTCTCTGGACCGGAAGATGCGGTTTCAGCGGCGGCGGCGGGTTTTGGAACTTCTAAGGAGCACTGTCCCTCCCAGCGGGCCTTGCTGCATGCATGAGACTGAAAAGACGGCACAGAGTTGGAAAATAGAAATAGAAAGGAAATGATAGATGATAGATGACAGATCACAAATGATAGGTGATAGATGAACGACATGTAAACTTAAAAGCCCACCTACAAGCAGACCCAAAGTATAATCAATGGGCCGATTCTGCTGCACAACAGAAAAATGTTATGGCAAGGCTACGATACGCTCTAACTTCCATATATTATGCTACTGAATCATACTAAATACTGTCAAAATGTCATGTGTTTGCTGTGCATTCAGGCGTTTTACACATAAACTGCAACGTCACTCGTATGTTATAAACCTGCGTCAGAAATACCCTGTAATCTAATATCGTTTTTTGACATTTGTGCAGTTTCTAGGTTAAGTTTTGTATCTGACAACCTGAGAAAAAACGCCTGACTGCACAGCAACCACATGGCTTTTGCCAATATTTAGATCGAATTAGCATAGAAAGTTCTTCATAACATAGCCTTGCCATAACATGGGTCTGTTATTCGGCAGAATCGGTCCATAAGTAAGAGTAGTAAATAAAAAATAAAGTAGAGCAAATACTGTCCCAATGCCAGATAAAAATGCAACAGTGTACAGGTAAATTGAAGCCCAGATTTCATATATCTGCAGGTACACCTTCAGTAAAGTTGAACGAGTAAATATAAAGTAGTCGCCCGACATGCAAAACCATTTGTAAAAGTGTGCAAAAATAGTTATATTTAGTTAAAATTAATTAAACTGAACGTAAGAAACTAACAATTCTAACTAAACCAGTTAACTGTGGCGCTCTCATTAGACCGTGTGCACAGTTTTGTATTGTCCTAATCGAGGTAAAATGTTTCAAGGTAAAATACCAGTTTGTCATTATTTATTTTATTTCGGCATATCCTCAAAAGGATGTTCCATGGTGTGTAACGGTTAAGCTCACGGACTCGTGTAGTCGAGGTTGTGAGCTATCCACTGAGAAAGTATATGCAAAAAATATTTATCGATTGCAAGACATTTTTCTCAATTTTAACTAATTCTATTGAAGAGCAATAATAAAGATAAATCTTTAACATCTTTGAAAAAACGTTCAGAACTACAAGTTCTGTAAACTGTGTTGGCAATCGTACACCCTACTCTATTATTTTTGTCAAAAAGGCAACCCAGTGGTCAACCACCCTATGTGTAGATAAACGTATATCTATTAGTGTTGGCGTATACATGTTGCAGCAATGCCCACGAAAGGCAATTTTCAATTAAGATTATATTAGAGAACAATAACCTGAAGTAAAAATTTGATATCATACTGCTTGATATCAAACTGTCCTAGGTTGAAATAGACCCCGGGTCTACTTTGTGCTCGCCTACGTTACTATGTCGGGCTCAAAAGCAATGCCAACTTATATATTAAAAACAATCTTATACAAGAATTGCTAATTAATATATTTTATTATTATTATTATTATTAACAATTTATTTTGTATAATATATTTCTAATCAACTAATTTCCGGAATGACCGAGAAAAATATTTTTAGGTAATTTTGTAACTCCAGAGGCTAAAATATAATTTCATGATTACTTTCTCTTAAAACTTTCAATATGTCTTTCAAGTTATTGAACTCGAGTATTACGTCTCTTTTAGTGTAATACTTTTTACGCCATATAAATAAATATTTTATAAATAACAAATATTTCATAAATTAGTAAAATTTCAACATAAGGCGCTTCACAAATACAAATTCCCTAGCAACTACATTCATTATCGATTCGAATATTATAAAAACTAATTTGTTTTATAATCTTGCTAAAACAATAAAAATTAAACCATATCTGCTGATAGATCGAAATTTGTTGTCAAACAATTTAGGATACATGAAACGATAACATTTTTATTAGATAATGATTATGAAATTACAAAATGCATTGCTGATCAGAAAAAAGACAAAATCGCGCGCGTCATTTTCATTGATAAGAAGTTAGCGATGATTTTATCGCAAAAACGGTACATGGTTTATAGTTCAGAATGAATTATCATTTTAGAACAGAAGTTTAGATTAAAGTACAAAAATAAAATCAGTCATCTGCCGCAAAATCTAATTAGTATTCGAAATACAAATCAATTTCCAAAAACCTGTCCAACATCCAGTCACCAAATCCTAGATGAAATAAGTAAAAAACAGTGAAAAATGTTAGATGGCTCACAAAGTAATCATTTTCCGACAGAGCATGAATTATATGAGCGTGAAAAAGATTTCAATAATTGATGATCAATATTTAAAAAAAATTACCATGGTGAAATCTCTGCGCCAAGGTTGAGAGCCACATTTGCCATCACAAAGAGGGCAGGGTCTCTCGAGAGCATAGCCTCCGCATTCGGAGCAATCCAGCGAAACCTGAAATATAAAATAAGGATAATTAATAAGTTAAATTAATTTTGTCTTAATTTTGGAACAAGAATCAGAACAATAGTTGTATAGGTTGTTGCTATTGAACTGGTCCTTATCCACGTCGATTTTTAGAAGTCAAGCCAACGGGTGTCCAAAAGGTATGTGATACTTTCTTAACTTATAGCCCTTTCTCTGTGATTTTTAATTTGACACAGCAATACCGAGAAAGGGCTATTTTTACTTGAAATCATATTTTAGACAAATTATCAGCCTGGCCGAAGTAGATATCAAATCTAGATCCTTGTGGTCGCAAACCTAGAACCTCAGTAGACATTTGTCCTTGTTTGACAAGTTCTTTAAACAGCACATTTTAAAGAAATCTCTACTTAAGAGCAAACTACCAATATTCATTATTCTATATTTGCAACATAACGACTCAGAGTATAACGAATATAATAAAAAGATGTAAAAATAGAATTTAATGTGTGATGTGGTATTTCACTTGCAACTATGTAATCTCTGTTTAGCAAAACCCGACTAATTAATAATTCATAAGTCAATAAATTATATAGAACTCCACATGTGTGCAAGTTGCTCATACTTGATCTAAACCAGATTAAACAATTGAAAAGTCAAAAGCTAAATTTAATAAAAATACATATCCGTAAATCATAAAATTGTAAAGGAAATAGATTATTAGAGTACACATCTAAAATGCAAACCATTGGGTTTTCTGGTAAAAGTAACAAATCAATTACTCAATGTTTTCCTCCAAGCAAATTTCAATTTTATAAAAATAAAAAAATATTCTCTATTCGACCATCCGGATCAGAGAAGTGGACTCTAAGGGAGGTCACCAAAAACTTCCTGGAGAGTTTTGAAATGTGGTGCTGGAGATGAATGGAGAAAATAAAGTGAGCAAATGAGGTAACAAATGAAGAAGTCCTGAGAGAAGTTTCGAAGATAGAACTCTACTGAGCACAATCATTAAAAGAAAAGGAAACTGGATCGGATCCATTCTGCAAAAAGAGTGCCTCCTACCATAACGTCGCCGAAGATAAAATAGAAGCACTGGAAGATTTGGGAAGAACAAGAATGCAGATGGTTGATGACTTACGCAAGAAGAGAAAAACAGGGAATTGAAAGCCAAAGCAGAAAACCAGGAAACCTGAAAGCAAAAGTTTGGAAAGGAAAATACATAAAAGTGAATAAAATGCGCTTAATGTTATGGTAATGGGAATAATAAACAAGAGAAAAAAAGGGAATCATGGATTTGTGATCCTCTCATACCATGAATCTACCTTATTATTTTTTATTTGGGCAGACTAATTTTTTATTATTTTTTTATCATATGTCAATTATCCTACCTGCTGATCAGCCCAAGAAACGCCGCAAGTGAAGCAAGAGACCAATTGAGTTCTGAGCTCTTCGATTGTCAGGATGTTGCCTGCAGAATTATTTCCTGCTCCACCAGACAAACCAGCCTGCTGCTGCGAATATTTACGATGATGCTGGTTGTTGATGGTCGAATAATCAATGCGGCACATCTCGGATAGAGCCGACGACACGGACATCGAGCGGCCAATATTGGACCTGGAGAAAAAGACAGAGAAATTAGACATGAAAAATTAATAATAGTAATAAATAAAATAAATGCATAATTTTTCCGCATAGTCAAAAAATCTGGAGTTTTTAAACTGAAAATTTATAATCGAAGGTAATAACTTAAATGGAGAGAAAATATAAATAATATTAGTATAGGATCATTATAAAAGCAGAATCGACGTCCATCCTAACAATTTAGTCAGACAAGTGTACTAGAAAGCCTAGCACACTAAGGAAATTTAACACTAATCTCATTTAGTAACTTTTGTATTATTTTTCTTATCTTTACTTTTGTATTATTTTTGTATTTGTTTTATATAATACTCCTAATAAATTCTTCGCTGGTAATATCTATTATGATCAAATTATAATGTTATCCCTTTCTTTATATTGTTCATAGATTGCAGAATAAATTGAAATAAAAATAATAAGTTTCAGTGAATTCAAACCCTAATAAATGTTTTTAAATAAAGGTTACAATTATCCGGAGAAAAACCACCACAATATCTATTTCATGTCTACTATTTGCGCATCTCTGTGGGTAGGATTTCACATAACCTTTCGCATTTAACAATTTATATTTATTTTGTAGGATCAAATAAAAGTATGTAGGATGAAGAAGCGACATTTTATATGTTACATATACGTTTATTATATTTTAAATCTAAATAGAATAAAATGTCGAGCACGCGCCAGTGAAAAAAATACTGATGAAAAATGTCCTTTTTGGTAGAGAAGGGCTTGAAGGTCGGCGGGTAAAAATATCCACCACCTATATCTTAAAAACAAGTAAAGTTAGGAATTTTTCAACCTCAATATTTGAAAGTAGAGGGCAAAAAATGTGTAACCAGTCATCGCCCTAAATAAAGTCATGTTGCTATCGGGAGACAATGTTTGAAAATCTACAACAAAAGTATTTTCTTTCGTCCTTAGTTTTTTTGGTTGTGAGCACTGTTTTTTAGTTTACGAGACTTTAATATAATTTTATATTAAACATTTTATATAACATATGAGGTAAAAAGGGACAGATGACAAATTTTCAGAAAAACACTAAAAAATACATTTCTAGAACTAATAGTTAATTAGGAATTTTCCAGAACAAAATTAGATAGTTGCTTGTTTGATACATGTTATGTGTTGTGATGTAGTACATTTGATTCAGACAATACAATTACTTATAGTCAAATTGGACCTTTGTGCCCCTGTAATAGTTTTAAAAGCAGTTACAACTACATTAATTAATTAGTTATTAATTCTAGTATTAGTTTTATTATTCACAAAATTTATTTATTAATTTTATCATCAATATTTGCTTTTATTGTATATTAAATCATAATCATAAGGATATCATTTTAATGAAAATACTATCATTTATTTTGTACTCTATTTATATTTATGGTATTATTTACTTATGTTACGAGATGCTATATTATTTAGCAGTTGTAACAAATATTGTAATTTAAAAAAAAGTCGAAAAAAAATAGTTATTAATAGATTTCCACTTACCCAAGTTCTGTCATAGGTGTCTGAATGCTCGTCATAGACATTTTGTAAGGAACTGCAAAAAAAGAAAAAAAAGTTAGTATATATGTCAATTGGCAAAAGAAAAATGATGAAGTAGAAACTAAACTGAATTTCTTGCATAAAAATGGTTAGAGTCGTTTCAATAGTTCTTTATTCCTAGACAAAAATGATTTGTGTTAATGCGCAATTTGTTCTCTAACGTATCTAAATAATTCAATCAGCAATTATATTAAAATTGCTAATTATGTTCACAGCTGAGCAAGTTCAGAGAATTTCAAGAACAGAGTGCGTTTTCTACTCGCCACTGCAGTTTTATTATCGACTCCACACACGACAAACAGAACTCACATATCTTGAACGCACACTTTCACCTATTGTTGCTTATTGTTATTATTGCGATGCTGAATGATATTTTAATGAAAAATCATACTTTTTATCATCATCCAATTGATTAGAATTGATATACGAAATATATCATGTTTACACTAAAATCTACTTCAGAGTAGATAGAGTTAGAGCTGTGGACTTCTAATCAGAAGTTCCAGGTGCGATAGTAATGTCAAGAAGTAGTGGCATCATTTCTCACTTGGAAATATAGTTCTTTGTATCATCCAATTTGTCGCTAACTGATATAAAAATATACCATTATGTTCACAATAAAATCTACTTTGAAGTAGATGCAGTTAGAGCTATGGACTTTTAATCAGAAGGTCCAGACTCGAACAGCCTGATGTCAAGCAGTAGTGACATCAGTTTTCACTTGGAAGTATAACACTTATATCATCCAATCTGGAAGATAGTGTTATAAACATTTGATATAAAAATATATCATATTTACATAAACATCTACTATGGACTTCCAATCAGAAGTTCCAAGTTCGGCCAGCCTGACTTCGGGCAGTAGCGGCATCGTTTTTCACTTAAAAATATAGTTTTTTGTATCATCATCCAACTTGTCTTCAACTGATTAAAATTGATATTGAAATCTGTCTGTTTAATATGATCTAAAAGTGAAATTTATAGCAAATTTTAAATTTCTATTTAAATTACAGTCTGTTTATTGTTATATGAGAACATTTAGTAATGTAGTTTTGTTAATTTAACAACAGACTTTTAGAACCCTGTAGTTTTCTCCTTTCTAGTTTTTTTGACCTCATTAGTATTTTTGACTTATTTATTTTGGAGCAATATCTCAAAAAGCTATTTTCACTTGATATCATATTTGAGATCTCTAGTAGAAATCCGATATAACTATTGCTTGATATCAAGTTGACTAAGGTGAGCATCGAACCGACAACCAATAGTTGGTAGATCAAGTTACTATTGCTTGATATCAAGCTGACTGAGGTGGGTATCGAACCGACAGCCAGTAGTTGTTAGATCAAGTTCTTTATCTCTATTAGCACAAACAGCAAATCGATAACAATTTTCTAGTATAATTTGTAGCTAAAATTGTTAAATTTAAGAAAAATTCAATTTTTGCCCTGTTGGTGCAGTTTTTGTTATGAAAATCTCATAAATAAATATATTTACTAAAGTTTTTAAATTGAATCACATAATTCATAAAAATCTAAAAATATGTACAAATAAAGCTTAACTTTTCAAAATGTATTAAATTTCGATATTAACCCAGCAATACATAGTTCAATCAGCACAAAAAATGAGAAGACAAAAAAAGTCCAGTAATTTGCAGCAATCTATAAAACGAATTTTTCAGTATTGCATTAAAATTTTTGATTGTAACTCAGTTGTTATTTTATGCTTTTCTTGTAAATTTTCTAATTTTCTAATGCTTTAAATTCCAAATCTCTAATTTATAGAGCAAAAAAAATATGATGTTGAAATTATTATTAACAATAAAAAAGTATGAAAATTTCAAATTATTTTACTATTTCATATCATATTTTATTTTTGTCATACCCGGACGTCCAATCACTAGATTGGCATTCGATTTAGATATTCTACTAAATACTACCAAAAATATGCGGATGTTGAAATAACGAAATCGGTGCAGAAATTAAAAAACAAATAACTGGAAGTTTAAAAAATACAATAATGCACGTTTAAATATGGCAGACATATGGCTTCAACTTTATGGTAAAAGGCTTTCTTCACTTTAGCGGCCACAAAAAAAAGTGGCAGTATAAAGGGCGAACGACAAATCTTGTATTTTTAGTATCTGTAACATAAGGATATCGGCATATTGATTTATTTATTACGATCGTCCTTTTATCTAGAGAATATTTCTGTATTGCATAATTTATTATGTTGGAAGAGCTAGTATTTTATATGACCTTGTCATTAAATCATTACGTTATATATGTCATACGATTGCGATGACGATTCATATTACTTAATATATCGAATTGATTCCGTTACGCTTATAAACACATATGGAAATTATAAGAAAAAAGGATTTTTTATGAACCATTAGTAGGTACATTTATTAAAAGTTAATAGTAGTAAGGTAGAAGACATAAAAATAAATGCATAGAAACTTCGAAAAGGGTATTCTAGTGTAGAAATTCAAACATTCCTTTTTTGTTGTTTTGCATATTTTCAAAGTTTAACAATTTAAGAATACTGTAAGAGAAGATTTTTTAAAATTTAAATTATTTTCGGAGATACAGATGTTTGACCATGATAATGCACTTCTGTTTCCTTATTTTTGCAACACTTTAAACGCATTTTTATCAAAACTGTTGAAAAATTTACAATTGAAATATTCAGATAATCTTCTTTATAGTCTTTCCCATGTCATATACTAGCCTCGTCTCCAAATTTTTATTTTTACTATTTTTAAAAAATTCGAGAAACTCGAAAAAGTGGTAAAAAAATGATCTTTTTTTTAAACGGTTGCCAATTTGTCAAAATTTTACTTTTTAACTTAATCCTTTTATATACCATTGCGACATCATTCTAGATTAAAAATCTTTTTTTTTCATTTTGGATTACTGGGAAGGTTTTTGAGATCCTCCACTTCAACTACAGCTAATTTTTGAAATTGATAACTTTTTTATTTTAATATAATTGCGATTACATTATTAGAACTAGTGGATAGCATGGCATCGTGCCTTAAAGCAAATTGCTGGAACTTCCCGTACCGTAATTAAAAATCTTGGTACGGAACCCAAGAAAAATTACACAAAATTTGTACACATTATGAAAATCTCCATAAAGTATCTGATAATTTGATGTGCATTAGTCCAATAAACATTTTTGACTGCCAAATAACGTTTTTTTTTAAACTTATTTTTATTGATAATCCATAATCGCTAAACCTGCCTTCCCAAAAATTGTACCCAGTTGTTCAATTCGTCAATACAAATAAAATGTTTTTTGAATTATTAAAATCGGATGCCCCGTTCTCTTAAAAACTGTGTTACCGTTTTTGGCATTTTTTTCCCCGTACCTTCGGAACGGGTAGACCTGCCTTCGCCAAAACTAATCAGCACGTCTCCTTATCAATACGAATCGAATGCTTTTGAATTATTGAAATCGCTTCATCCGTGTTCCCGAAATCGTCGGCGAAAATTTGTATCCGCACACACGCACGCACGCACACACACATACATCCATTTTTTCTAAGGTATGTCAAAATGTTCAGAAACCTCTGAAACGTAAAGATATATAAAAAATTTCATTTTCGATTTTTTTGCGATTACTATAACTTGCCCTACGGGAATACATATGACATTTAATCAATCGAGAGAGTTCCACAATTGTCGGCAACACTCATTCAGCAAGTGACGTCACAGTCACTTCTACACTTTATACAATGGAAAACATATGAGGACTAGCAGTCCATGTATTGTAAGGTCTATGGGTGGACCTTTTTACCCACAGACCTTAAAACCCCGCTTTACCCTATGTCTAAAATGATGATTTATCCAATTTAAAACAAGCTCTTACAATTAGTCACTTACTACGATCTCCGTAATACTTTCTCATAAAAAACATTGTTTTTACTGTTATCTCTGACTAATTGTGTAATAGAGGCGCTTGAACTAATTTCATTGAAAACTCTGCTATCTAATTTGTCGTTATTAGCAATTCAAACAAGACAAATAAACAAAGTCATTCATTTCGCAAAATTCAAATATAAATAATGTACGATAGTGGCCAATTATCAATAATTAAGACTGTTGTAAAATGTAATCAGTATTGCTAGTAAATTGGTAGAAATGATGATTTGTTATTTTTGTATGTTTTCCATTAGCGCTAATAATAAACACAAATTATGACTTAATTTATTTTAAAATATTAGCAATATAATCAGGAAAATTAATTGTGCTGATATCGCAACTAACTTGCATAGGTAATTAAAAATATTTTTATAAAAATAACCATTTTAAATAATTTAAATTATATTATTTTGTTATTTTTGACATGAGTTTAGTTATTTTAAACACTAAATTATTGTCATTTTTTCCATATAAGAAAGTTTTGAACTCGATAAGTTGGTACTGGAAAAAAAAGTTGTCTGTGGTGTATATTTAAAGTCAATATGTATACAATTCTATATGTGATAGTTTTTTGTGATAAAGAAAAAAAGCAAGTCATTTAGATAAATTTCTGAATGAATATTATTATAATGTGAACATGTAATTTTGTTTTCATAAATTTTATTTAGGTTTTTGCAACTGGTTAATTGTTAATATAAACTAGTGGGGCGCATGGCATCGTGCCTTAAGGCAAATTGCTGGAACTTCCCGTACCAAAAAATTTTTTTTAAAAAAAGATTAACATTTTTGAAAAAAATTTACTCTGAAAAAAATAGATTTTTGAGAAACTATAAATTTTTGAGAAACTATAAATTTTTGACAAAAAATTACTTTTAAAAAAAAAAGACTTTTTGAAGAAAAGTGTATTTTGAAATATTTTGGAAATTCTGAACTTTTTTTCAAAGCAATCGTACTGCTTTAACTGCATAGAGACGAAATATCGAAGCGCGTAAGCGCCGAGCCGCCGTCTAACGGATAAACATTGATACGAAACCCATTGGAATGTAAACAAAATTTATACTTATTGTTA